AACTCTTCTTTCAATATTGTGCTCTGGGGAAGAGATTAATTCTATCAAATGCAGACCAGCTTTTCTCCTGCTTCTAGCAGCCACAACTTGAGATGTCCTACTGAAATCCAGCAAGATCTGAAAAGTCTAGGTAGAAAGAAAAAAAATCACTCTGTAAAATATATAGATGCCACAACAAAAAGAATTCTCTTTTCTATCGACCATCCTATGACAAAAGAGTTCTTTGGTGGTACAAAAAGTTAAACATCCAAGTACTAACCAAAGTTGGAGGTTCAAACCCACTGAGAGGCACCTCCCCAAAGGTCACACCCATACAAACACTATGGAGCACAGTTGAGGTCACCATGAATTAACCCAATGACAATTGGATTGGTTTTGGTTTTCCCATGACAAAGGAGTCCCTGTCCCACCCTTAACCTGTGAACATTATCAGATTAAAATGAAAACAAAACAAAGGAACATGGAAACAAAGAGTTTTATTGATTGCTCTTTGGGAAAGATTATTTAGAACATTATTGAGGTGGAAATTAAATTCTAGTAACAAATGCATAAAACTTTGAACCAAATTAGCTTTTATGAGACTATCCAATCCTCTCTAAACCTCATACAGAGCAAGATACTTCAATCATAGTCTATAGAATCCTTTGTTGTTAAGTGATTAACGCATATGTGATACATAATGCAGCTTATGTTACATATCTGGGGTATGACAAATCAATAAAACTACTTTCATCTTAAGCATGAACTGGTTATCTATAAATGTTCTGTAGTTGCACTTCCCATTGAAATTTTTTCCTTAAAAGGAGTTTACTGGTGAACCATTTGTCATTATCTGCTATGTGTTTGTATACACTTATCATAACTCTTCAAAAATACATTTAAAATTTTTCTTATATTTCTTCAGAAATGTTAACCTTTAAGAAACAATAAAAAAAAAAACATAAAACTTCAGGCCTTGACTCTGTAACATATATGCAGATGTGTATCAAGATTTACTGTTTCCTTGACCTGAAACTCCAGGTTAAAAGCCTCCAACAACGTACGAGGGTAAGTTAAAAAGTATTGCTACAAAATCGTAGAACAAAAACAAAGATTAGACAAGATTATGAAAATGTGATGTTGTTGTATGTCTTCCATCTAGTTCTACACACTTTTGAAGGTGGGATTTCTAGCTCTCCAATACTTCTCTAGAGGTTGACACCACTTTGATATGGCAGTGCAGGTATCTTTGAGGGACTCGATGTTCCTTTTAAATGTTCTTTGAGTTTTGGAAAAGTCTGAAAGGGTAAGATCAGGTTTGTAGGAAGGATGGTGTTAGGTTTCCCAATGAAAGTCTCACAGAACAGTCCTTACTACCCTCGAAGAATGAGCAGGTGCATTGTCAGGATGGGGAAAAAAAATCCCATGTCACTATTTTCCTGGTCTTTTCCTCACCCATGCAGTTTTTAGTTCTCTTTAAAATTCTTCTTATTAAGCCCCTGAGATCATCCTGTGGCCTTCAGGAAGCTCTATCAAGACTGCCCATTTAAAATGCAAAAGACAGTTGGCATAGCCATCTGTGCTGACTTATCTGCCTTGACTTTAACGGGCTTCCGTAAATCCCTCTGAAGCCATTGTTTTAATGGGACCTTTTTTCTGGCAAGCACCCTAGTGAGATTGGTGGTGGTTGTGGTGGTGTGCTGTGGAATCAGTTCTGACTCACAGGGTTTCTGAGACTATAAATCTTTACAGGAGCAGAAAGCCTCATCTTTCTCCAACGAAGATTCAAACTGCTGACCTTTCGGTTAGCAGCCCAACTTGTAACCCACTACGCTACCAGATCTCCTTCTAATGAGACAAAGACAAGTCTGTTACTGAGAGAACATGTCTGTAACCATCCCGTGATGGCAGAGACATATTTCAACATGTTTTGTTTGGAATAAACCTGTGCAGATATGAACCACAACCTAACAGCAATACTTCCTGACTTACCCTTGTACAAGGTACCAGCTTCTTTGCCCAACACAGAGGAAGTTACATAAAAGAAAAAAAAACAAAACAAAAAAAAAACCACATGCTTGAAATCACAGTGACCAAAAGATTTGAATTAATAATTACATTAAATAACCATAACTTTTTGTTTAACTATTCACATTCCACACAGTGGAAATTATCCTTCCCTTCAGAATTTTCACTTACGTTTCTCAACTTTGAAGAACTACAATAACAAAGAAACAACTTACAGACGTACAAAATGTGTTTTTCTCTTTTAATGCCAAGCACAAAGTGTACATCATAAAATTCATATTTGGTGTTTGGCATTATTTTAATAGGAAAGATTGAGATCACAAATACATTGCCATAAAAAAATTCTACTATCATAATGAAAAAAATATATCATTACATCATCAGTGACTCTAATACAATATGTAACAGATATGGCATTTTCAATAAATGTTGGAAGACACACCATACTTGTGCTAGTCTTAATATAGACACAGTAAGAAAAGCAGACATTTGTCTCTTTGGCTAGCGCTGTGCTGTAGGGTAGTAATGCTGCCAATTATCTCTGTAAAGCTAATTTTCAGGAAATTCTCTTTACTTGAGCCAAATCTGACTTACATGCAAGACTGTGTGGTACAAGCTACTAAAAGACAATTATCGCTGCCAACATAAGTCATCTCTTTTCACAAAATTGCATGCTTGTGGCAGAGTTAAAACAACAAGAGAAATTCAGTGTTTGTTAGTGCTATTTGGTGTGTTTACATTTTCAGCTCCTTCCTCCTTCTTTTCCTCTCCCCTACTCTCAAAATTCTGGCTGAGCATTTGTGTGCTTAATTAAATCCATTCTGTGCTTTTATTGCTAGAGGATGCAGATGATACAAAGATTTAGCGTAGTGACAGGGGGCATACAGTGTACACCAAATGCAGAGATGAAGTGTTCGCATAAATTTGCCTGGTATAGAACCATCAGTAGTAAGCTCAAAATGTTCAAAATTAGACCCAGCATTTTGGATGCTGAAGATAACTCTGAGGTCTCAAAAGTATAGTTCCTGTTTAGTTGTTAGATGGGAAAGTACTGGACCAAAACCAAAGCAAAATAACAAGAGCTTCTTTATTTCAAGGCTTCTTTGAATTCTGGAGCCCTGATAGGCAACTGAATCCCCCTTCTCTGGTATTTCTTTCCCATATTACACATGGCTCGGATAATGAGGTGAGAAGATACAAGGCAAAAAGAGCATTTGAGGGGATTTACATATAAAACAAACTCCAACTGGAACAGGCTCTCCAAATCCAAAGTGCAATAAGGTTGACCCATCCTTCGCTTTTGTCATTGGGAAAATCCTAAGTAGGCAATGAGAATAGCCCAAGTTTCATCAGAGAATGCCTATCACTGTAGGTACTGAATCGTTACAAAGTTACATGGATTCCACCAGCAGAACATAGACATTAATCCACCCAAACGATCTGCTTTAAGAGCGGTTTCCATATCCCTCACATCCCCTAGGTATTAACAACTTAGCCGGAGCCCCTGCGGAGTGCAAGCAGTTAATAAGCTCAGCTGCTATCCAAAAGGTTGGAGATATAGAAAAAAGGACTGGTGATGCACTCCTGGAAAAGCAGCCCATAGAAAACCCTATGGAGCTCAGTTCTACTCTGACACATACAGGGTCACCACTGTTGCTCTTGAGTCGGTTGTGACCCATAGCGACCCTGTATAGGGTTTCCAAGGAGCGGTTCGTGAGCTTGAACTGCTGACCTTGTGGTTCAAACTGACTTTGCAGTCCAGCACATTAACCCACAGTGCCACAGACCAGGACTCCAGGGTCACCATGAGTAGGAATCAATTCAACTGCAACTGGTTTACTCTTTAGCCTGGTAATTATTACCTTACTGGCTCAATCTCCATTTAAAACAAATAGACCAGAAACATAAAGAGGCATGAATTCCAACGTCCTAGATGGGTTCTTTTATAGCAGGTACATCCACAAGAAGCAAAAACCTTAGAATACAGGCTCATGGTGCTCAGAATAATTAAGTGGAAGCATGTAATTATAACCAAGGAATGAGAATGATGTTAGGACCTTCTACCCATTAAGTTTTTGTCTTTTGCCTGTGTTAGGGTGTGAACTACATCTTTTGCCCACCTGAGGGACAAACCTGAGGGGCTGTTTAGGTTTGGCTCCCTTATTTGGTTCTAAAAATGAATATCTTCAGTTTAGTGTTGGGTTACAGCTAGTTTTAGCAGATCACAATTTTGACCAAATTTAGGATTTGGGGAGTCTCATTTCTCTTGTGCTCACTTGGGTTCTGTTAAGAACCAGGAAAAAGAAAAACATCAAAACATGAGAACTCTTAGGTCTCACTGTTTGAGGGTTCACCTACAAAGCCTCTGCTGAGCCCCAAGCACCCTCTTAACCTCTTCGTTTCTCGTCAATCTTTCTCATCAGTCTTGCCCAGTCTACGGTCTGGAGGATTTTCACAAAATGGAAAACACATCCACAGTCAAAGCAAGTCAGTTAATTTAGAGACCTGGTAGACATAGAATTAGGCCAAAAGAATGAGAACCAAAGAAGGCGCAGACCATGGTAGGGAGAAAAGAGAAAGCAAGCACAGAGGGGCGGAACTTGTCCTAGTCAGCTACACTGAAACTGGTCTCTGCCCCCCAGAGGAGCCTTTTCCATAAGCACTCATTCCGAAGGGAGAGCCTGGTTCCCTGGACAAAGGCGGAAGCAGATGTGATCACCTCTGTTCCTTTGCATGTGCCTCAAGGCATTGTGGGTTTCTCTGCCATTCCTGAAGGAAGCTGATAAATTTACATGGTAAGAAGTGCCCACTAGCAGAGGCTGTGTTTCCTCTGGTGTACTAAAACACTCACAGGCACCTATACACATCCATACACACTCATGCACACAAAGTACAGACAAGCAGGCTCCTGCCAAGAGGTGGTTCTTCGTGCCCTTAGGTTTATGCCAAAGAAGAATCAGATTATTGTAGGTCTGGCTACCAGCCCGTCCCGGGGCTCCATGCCTAGGACAGGCTAGCTGTGCCAGCTTAATCCAAATCGATGGATATGCAACGACATTGCTTTACACGTGTGACCCTCTTCTTCTTGGTGGGCGGCTGTAGTTTGGGGCAGTTGAGTGTGACCATCATGGTGGTGAATTTCTTGGGCTTGCAGAAGGAGCAAGACTGAAAGGAGCCTTCCTCCTTCCGGATGTGCCGCGGGATGTAGAAGGAGTTGCACTGGCCATAGCAGAAGCGGTTGATGATGGTGCGGCTGTTGCAGCCTTCCTCGTGGATGGTCTGCTTGAGCGGCTGGGTTTTGCACCAGTCTCGCTTCAGGTATTTGCGCTCGGTGACATGCAGGGCTTCCTGGCTGGACTCCAGCACCTCTTCGCCCGGCATGGCCGTGCCCCGCCCTTGGCCCCGCCCCCGGTTCCTGGAGCCTGGCTGCTGGGGCGACTCAGTCTGCTCGGAGTCATTGTGCTGAGCCTTGTCTGGCGGGGGGATGGCCCCTTGGGACCCCTTTTTCTTCCCTTCAGCAGGGGGCAGTAGGGTCCCCAGGAGGAGAAGCAGAGCTCCCACAGTATAGGCGGTGCGGCTCATGCTAAAAGGAGGGAAGCACAGGCAGGGGAGACAGGAGAAATAGAAAAGTTAATTCATTACGAAATAATAGCAGCTAACATTTTTACCAAACCCAAAACAATTGCCTTTGAGTTGATTTAGATTCATAATGATCCCTTATGTGACACAGTAGAATGGTGCTCCATAGGGTTTTCAATACCTAATTTTTCAGTTCTTTCTTACAAAGAGCTTCTTTGAAGACCGAACCTTCAACTTTCCAGCTAACAGCCAACCCTGTTAACTGTTTGCACCACCCAGGGACATCCGACACTTCTCAGGCACTTGTTAAATATGGAGCCCTGGTGGCGCAGTAGGTTAAGCGTTGGGCTGCCAACTTCAAGGTCAGTGCAAGAGAAAAATGCCATAAAGATGCACAGTCTTGGACACCCTAAAAAAGCAGTTCTACTCCGACTCCACCGCACATCACCACCACCACTGTCTCCTGAAAGGTGCTAGGCGTCAGAAGTGACCATGGCAGTGGGACTTTTTGTTTTTATTGTTGTTGTTAAATGCTTTATTTCTTTAAAATATTTCATTTACATCTCATAATACATCTAAGAATTATGTACTATTATTTTCATTATTGATCTTTATCATCAAATCAGGAAGTAACTTGCCCAGTTAACAAGACAGCCAGGAAGTATTTCTTCAAGGTTTGTACTCCATAGACATTGCTTCTTCACTTAGGTTTTATGTTATAATCATATACCTGTATTCATGCATATATTTGACTGTCTAGTAAGCGCCTGATATATTGGTGCCTGATTACTTTTGCACGTTTGGAGGAAACATATTTTCTACTTTTTGTTTTGTTTTATTTTAAAGATGAGGTACTGGTGTGGTGCTGTGGGTTAATGTGCTGGGCTGCAAAGTTGGTTTGAACTTCAGTGTTGGCAATTCAAGCTCACCATCTGCTCCTTGGGAAACCTATGCAGGGTCCCTATGGGTCAGAACTGAGTCAATGGCACTTAACAACATCATTGTGATTTGAGTGGTTTATAGACAAGATGATCAGTTTCACATTCAATAAATCACAGACTTTGTTTCTTCTCAATGATTGTAATCCCCTGCATGCAATAGTTACCCCACTTCCTCCCTGGGGTTCTTATTTCCACTTCACTCTGCTTCCCAACCTTTCTCAATCTTGTCCTTAGGTAAATGTTGCCCTGTTGATCTTGAATGATTAAACATTCCATGGTGAGCAGACCTTATTAATGTTGTCTCCCTCCCATTGTACATACTATCTATCAACTGCTTGGTTGAAAATTGGGCCACCAGGATAAGCTCCATTCCAGACTTGAAGGGTGATTGAAGGTCATAGTCTAGGGTTCCTCCGGTCTCTTTCTGACTAGTAAGCTCAGTCTTCATATATATGTGTGTGTGTGTGTATGTGTGTGTATATATATATACATATATGTGTGTGTGTGTATATATATGTGTGTGTGCATATATATATATATATATATATATATATATGTCTGTGTGTATGTATGTGTATATATATATATATATATAATTTTGAGTTTTGTTCCAGTTTTTCCCTTTTTATGGTAAATATATATAACAAAAACTTTACTATTTCAACATTTTTCACAGTGAGATCATGTTTATAATGCTATTCATCCATCACTATCAAATTTATCCACCAACCTTAATAGAAGCTCAGTGTCCCCTAAACAATGAGTCCCCCTTCTTCTCTCTCCTGCCCACTCCTTGTAACCACTAATAAACTTTGATCTATATACACTTGCCTATTCTAGATATTTCATATAAGAGGGACCATACAAATTTGCCTTTTTGTGACTGACTGATTTATTTCAGCAAAATGTTTTCAAGGTACATCCATGTTGTGATTAACTTGTTTCATAAACAAGATGAATTAACTTCACTGCCATGGGCCTCATTTTCCAGGAAAAGCTTGCCTGTTCTCCCCAACAAGCTTGAGTGCTTTCTGGGCTGTGTCCTGCTTCTGTAAATGTTTATGAGAAATTTCATTGTTACCAGGCATTGGGAGGGAAGGAGAGACCTGTGGAGAAGATCAGAAAGCGCTGGACGGAGGAAAAACAACTTAACAGGAAGAGCGCTGGATGGAAGTCAAGGCTGACATTCCAGTAATATCTGACCTTGAGAAAGGCACTTCTCAATAAATAATTTTATCTAAGCAAAGACACCTCACCTCCTGGATAGATTGTGCAAATCAAATTAGATATGAAAGTAAAGTAACTTGAGAGCTAACAATATTGAAGATGGGCATTACAGACAGAACAAATTACTGTACCAGGAAGATCGCATAATTCATAAGACCCCTTGACCCATCTTAGAGTCTCATCTTGGGCATAGACATGGCATTAGATTATTCTTTATACTATGATATGTAAGTTTTCTAAAAAGTCCTAGTGGCATGATGGTAATGCACTTGGCTGCTATTCAAAAGGTAGGTAGGTGGTCTGGATCCATCAGTGGCTCTGTAGGAGAAAAGCCCTGGTGGAATGCCCTATAAAGATTGTTGTTGTTGTTGTTATGTGCCGTCGAGTCGGTTCCGACTCATAGAGAACCTGTACAGGGTTTCTGAGGCTGTAAATCTTTGCAGGAGCAGAATGCCTCATCTTTCTACTGTGGAACAGCTGGTAGTTTCAAACTGTTGGCCTTAAGGTTCGCAGCCCGATTCGTAACCACTACGCTACCAGAGCTCCTCCTATGGGACACTTCTATTCTGTTATATAAGGTCCCTATAGATTAGAATATCTCTGGTAGCGTAGTGGTTACGAATCGGGCTGCGAACCATAAGGTCAGCAGTTCGAAACTACCAGC